GACATCACCAACCGGGTTTCTTTCTGGCTTTCTCATGTCCAAGCTGCCCAAGATCATTGCAGCCACAGGTATACACCGTCCCGTCCTCCAGCAGGAAAGCTGTGTGTCTGCGGCCACACCCCACATCACTCACTTGCTTCCCGTGAAAGAATTCACATTTTCGTGGCTCAACCACAATCTCTTCATCAATCCCACCCAAGCCCAGTTGTCCATAGGAAGCATTTCCCCAGCACAGCATTGTAGTTCTCCCTTTAGCTGCACGCAAAAGCAGGATCTCAGGCTCTGTGAAGAAGACACTTGGGCTAATATAACCTTCCAGAGTATAGTCACATATCCCCCGTTTCATTTGCAAGGTGTAATCTAGCTGGTATCACCTAGCAAAGCCGAAAGAGGCAAAACAACATCATCGCCACATGAAACAGACGCAAGCCTGCGGTCAGATTAAGTCATGACTTCAGGATCGTACACCTACATATATATATATGTGTGTATATATAGCGAGAGCACTAGTACGTTGCAGTCTAACCTGACCATGTAAACAGATTAGCCTAGTAAGCTACAGTTAACGGTGTTGGGTGAGTTCCGTTAGGGTTGCTAAAATCGTCAAATAACACCACTTCCGTCGCGGGCGGCTGGGTTTACAAATTAAAGCACATGCCAAAACGTGTTTAAATACCAGTATTGCCAATAACTGTATGTACCCCTACGAGTTACACTCTCATAAACATAATTAATAAACTTACACATTTCTTTCTGGGTCACAAATGTATGCGTTTATAATATTGTAAGCGGAAGTATAACTCTTGTCCGTAATGTTAGCACACGCTAGCATGCACCTTGACGAATACAGGCGAGGTAGATCATTTCAGACTGATGGCACTTGACCAACTTAATGACAGTACTTAAAATTATCATAGTGCGATTGGAAATTATTTTAAGAAACATATATGTTTAAGCACTCGGCACGTGGTACATGGCTGACTTATACAGACAGTCCTGATATAGCAAGCTAACGTTAGTCAGACCCAAAGACTTTATGTCTGTGTTTGGAACATAACGTACTTAAGAGTTCATTCAGAAACCTGAAGTGACTTCACAGCTGAGTATCTGAACTTAAAGCCCCGCTATTCTTTACTGTTCCGCTAAAAACACAAGTTTAACAACTTACAGCCAGGTGTCTCTTATGTTAGAGCCAAGAGCAAATCTTACCAAAGCCACCAGACCCGACAAGTTTATGATCTGCCAGTGCCTTGTTCGTTAGTTAGTCCGACTGTTAAAAACACACATTACAGTACGCTGCTGTCCAAAGACAACTCCCAGGTAAAACCCTACTTAACGCGTTTCTTGGCCGTGCAGCAGTTGTTGACAGAGCATCGGAGTGGTTACATTAAAGCAGTCGTCTCAAACTCTGGATGTCCGTTATGTCCTTTTAGAAATAAAAGTGTTTTTATAATAGCAGAGCGGAGAAGAGTACAAGATAGTTAAAATATATACATAAGAGTCCCGAAATGTCCAAAACACGGTCAAGGAGATTTGAATACTTCTCTGAAAGACGCGTAGAGAAGCTCTACACATAAACGCTGTAAGGCTTAATTTGAAGGCAGCTTACAATACCGGAAGTATTAACAGCGTTTTCACGCATTTTCCTTCATGGACGTGAAGAAATGTCGCGAAGCTGCCGAAATGTTCTAGAGCGAGCGCATCCGCGCATGCGTATACCGGCTGCGCTGTACTACCTTTACCTAGGTATGAAAACACGGAGGTTACTCTCCTAGTCCCCGAACTCCATATTCATACACACACATGCACACACACACACAGATACACACACAGACCTCCCCGTTTTCTTTTTCTTGAATGTTTCGCGTTCATACAGCGCACACACGGCATTTATTTGTTATTAATTAGTAAGTAAAAGAAGGAAAGTGAAAGCGCGAAAGACTACTACTGAAGTGCGTAGTATGAACTAGCAAAAGAAAAGTCCACAAATGAATACATTCGAAATAACAACACATATAATGGTATTCAAGATTAAATGTTAATTAATATGTAAGGACATATAAATATATAATACAAGCACATTTTGAATGTGACTATAAGTTGCAGATGTATGTGATTAAATGTGAGGCGTTATAAAAAAAAGTGTTATATCTGCATTCTAATCGCAGATATTTTATTACCTGTAGTTTTGTTCATCTTATGTAATCAGGCTGTAAGTATACTAGAAGAATCTCGAACTTCTACCGGTGTCGTGTCTTTTTCCAAAACCATGTTCGCCAACTTGAGCTGGTTCACAACCACCGGGCTCCCCCTGGTGGAGAGCAAACTCACTTACTCCGATTCAACAAACAAACAAATAGACTGTGTCACCTTCATTAAGATAAGATAAAATACGAGAAGAAGAGAAAATGTAACTTTAAATACAAGGTAAACTCAACAAACATATTAAAAAAGTAGGCATTAAGAGACTCAAATATGCATATATTTTAAAATAATGAAAACAGCAATGCAGCTAATGAGGACATCAAATCAATGTAATTCGCTTTTTTATCATCTGGTTTTAAAAGAGCTTTTTGCACCAGTTAAAAATAGATTGGACATTTCCTTGATGTACAGTAAGCTTCTGTAACAGAGATCCACATCTGTTCATTCAAAATCCAGCAAACACAGCTAGGTTTCAGACCAAACTTTTGTTTGACTGAATGGTTTAAAAGGAGATGAAAAGTCAGATAGATTCATATCATTCAAACTCCATCTGCTGGTGCACAATGCCATTTATCAGTCTGTCTGTCTCTTTTTGTGTTATCTGATTTCTTTTATACTGCAATATACTACACATAAAATATGAAAATGTTTATTTGCATTTGTGTAAAATGTAAATGCAAACAGAATGCAACGATTTGCAAAGCTGTCAAACCCATATTTTATACTCATCACATGTTTAAACAGAGACATTTTAATATTTCACAAAAAATATTATCTCATTTTAAATTTGATGGCAAAAACATGTCTCAAAAAAGCTGGGATTGGGACAACAAAATGCTGGAACGATTTTACATCATACAGTATCATCAAAAGAATCAGAGAATGTGGAGAAATCTTTGTGTTCATGGGACAATACTGGACAGCCTCTGGCCTTTGGGCCCTCAGGAAACACAGGCATTAAAAACAGGCATTATTGTGTCATGGAAATCAGTGCATGGAGGCAGGAACACTTCCAGAAAATACTATCTGTGAACATAGTTCACCATTAATACAGGTTGTATCATACAAAGAAGAAGCCATATGTATGCATCTCTCATTCAAATCTCTTTAAAATGAAACTGAGCTTGTACTGAAAACAAACAATGCCATCTGATCTGCATTTTAAAATCGACTACTGATTGCACGAAACAGGGGACAGGCTGAGTCAAAAACAGGTTTTTGCATACTTTGAAAGTATGATAAACATAGATATTATTTCAGTGCATTGCCGGTGAAGGTGGAGGAGGCAGTTTAGTTAAACTTTTCCAAGAGTTTCCAATGCGTAAATATATGACAGAGCGGATGACAGGCAGGTTGTCACTCTTTGACATCTGTTGTTTTTAGGTGTCACCGGTGAGATCATCTTAACCTGCGTTAAGACTTACAGCTAATGATAGCTCTAATCAGCCTATTTTACGCAGTTGTTTGCGTAACCGCACATTTATCTCATGACTGACTTCATTCAGGCATAAGATAACCTGTTTGGTGAATATGCAGTCTATCCTGTACGGCTGGTTCTTCTATGGGAGTTTTCCTCTCCTGTCTTACGCATTGTGGTCTGATGTCTCGGAGAAGAAGGAACCTCTTTATTTCTCCTTAGGTTACGAATCAGAGCACAAACAGGGCAGACACAACAGAAGCAAACATGTTGTACTTGATCGGAGTAAGTGCAGACCTCTTTATATATTATTTTAAGTCTTTTAGCTGTAAGTAAGTTCATTTTTCAAAGATTTTGTTTTCTAGTGGTGACTGTAACCTGTGTGATACTGACTGCTGTTCGTTTTGCCTTAAGATCATTGCTGGTCTTCTCTTTGTCATATATTGGTTTTCAACGGGACTCAAAGAGGTAAGCAGCTATTTATTTTTCTTTCTTTCTTTCTTTTTTAAATGTAGCTCACATCAAGTACGAAGCAAACAGAAACATTTATAGAGAGTGCATAGAGGTGGAACAAGGAAGCAAAGACTAACTCTGTGTAATGATTCTTATCATTTTCAGGGAAACAAGTCACAAAAGTCCCAGCTCCCAGAACCCTCTGTAAACAACAAGTTGGTAAGTGGCAATCAAAAGTTAAATGCTGAGCTTACTGAGAATAGTTTGGATAAAATATCTGACTTCAATTTATTCAACAGAATGATCTGAGCGAGGATGACTTGCATTTATTGGCAAAGATCCTTTCGGTTGGATTGGTGGATGCGGATCCAAACTACCTCCATCACCTAAAAGGCTACAGGGACTTGCGTGGTCCCTGATCTCCTTTGGAAAAAAGAAAGAAAAAGAAACAAGGAGCTCATCTGGAGCGACGGATGGATACAAAAACAGACTTTCATGGAGATCTTGAAGGATTTGTGATGTCATCAAATCAATGCTTATTTGGATTACAAGTTATTCTCACGTCACCCTGCAGATTTTTCATGATCACAGGATAAAACATGCAGTATGTTCAGTTTAAATGTTGCACTGAATATCTCAGGGGTGCACCCAACTGCGTTATGTTAAACATGGATCCTAATTGCTTTATTGTTACCTTTGTAACCCACGGCTGTACTGCTTGTTGCAAGTAGCCTAATCTGTCTCAATGGTGCTATTTAACATTGCACCAATGCTAAATTGGTGCTACAAGGAGCGCAAGTGGAGAAGAATACAGTCTTTATCGCAATCATTACCCAGTCATCAAATCAGAACAATGTGTAACGCATTAGGCAAGGGTGTGTTTTGTCCTGTGGTTTAAACTGTTTTTAGTAAGAGAAAGAATGGATTGTTTGCATAGCTTCACTTCAAAAAGAACCATGTGGCCATGTGGGAGAAAGGTTCAATTCATTTGTTTCTCTTGTCTTTTTGTTCATGTCCTTTTCTGGAGAAGGAGACAAAAGAGAGAGTTAAGCAAAGAGACAGATTCGATTCTGTTGTTGTTGTTATTTTTTTAAACCTTTCTTTTTTGGTATGATATGGCAAACGTAACTCCTCTTACCCCAGACCCGTCTGCTGAGCTCGTTCCCGAGCAGGTAGAGCAAGATCACCACAGACATGTTAAAAAAGAAGAAGCCCACCAGACCAGCAGCACTGAAGCGCCCAAGAAGAGGATACACCCAAATCCCGACTGACATGTACACCCATATAATCCTGCAGAACATGTTCAGAATATAAAATAAAAAAAAAGGAAGGAAAAAAAAGGTTTGGCTCATGCAAACATTCACCCAGTGTGTTCACGCAGTTATTGTAACAGCAAAACAGCAGCAAAACTAAACATCTCATATGCAATGAACAGCATGCTTATGGTTTGTTCTGTACTCATGAGGAGTTATTGGCTGCATTACAACATGTGAGCCCGAGCTGTGGAGGTTGAAAAGAAGCTGTATGCACACTGGAGCAGCAAAAATAGATGCATTTAGACAGTGTTGTGCTTTCAGCCACATGAAGGTGAACTTCAATCAGTGTCAAATGAAAGATAAAAACTGAAGAAATGCTTTTTTAAAAGTGCTTGATTATGCTGTTAATGCTGAGTCAGCACTTACCAAGATAAGTAAGCCAAGCCCACGATTCCTAATGCCGTCAGTGCATGTTTAGTCTGTGGGTAGACGTGAGGCTGCACCAGCACCTCTCCAAGTAAGATGGGAAGGACAAATGTGTGCTAAAGAAAAAGCCAACAGCAACATGAGAAGTCCCGACAGGCCAACCAGGAATTGCTTAAAAATGTTTTAAAAATACAAACGATGCTGAGTAATTATTTATTATGCCGAAGAACACAAGTCAACAGACCATAGCGTGGTTCATCCACGGAGGGAAGAAGGTGTCGATGGTAGCTGGGTAGACTAATTCTCTATCATATGCAAAGATTGCCCAGAAAAGTAGAACAACAAACTAAAGAAAAGGCAGCAAAGGCAGAGTTAATGTGAAGCATAGTGTTTTGCTTTGGGGGTGTTTTTGCACTTGAAAGAATGTAGGATTTGCAAATGTGGGGTTCTCACCGTGCCCACTGGAAAGGCAAAGACAGAGAAGAGAAGGTCTTTAAACTTGCTCAGAGTACTCTCAGCCTTTTTCTCAGGTTGAAGATCATTCACTGCCGCCAGTCCAAAGAACGCCATTTGCAATAACTGAAACATTACAAGCAACATTGTTGTTTTTTCCCACTGTCCTTGTTGGGATCGCAGGGTCATTAATCCTTCACAACAATTACCCATAAACGATCAAGGTACTCACCAAATTCAAAAAAGTGAGGTACTTCCAAGGTCCTCCATAAACAAAGATTCCTGGTGGCAAATCCTCTCCATCCTTATCATTGAGATTCTTAACAATAAACGCATACCAGCTGAATGCTGTAATGTGATACACTCTCCTAACAGTCATTCTCAGTGTAAACTTATATTCTTCTGTAATAAATAGTGAAAATAAATTAAAATGCAAGCAAAAAAAAACAACAACAAAACAAAACAAAAAGACTTAAGTTCAAAGTTTTCCCTTCAGATGTGAGGCACTTGAAGCAGTGAAGGTTCTTTAAAGATTAGTGTAATTCAGCGCCGGCTTATCAAGACATTTGCAGGCAGCAGAGACAAAGAAACACAAGAGAACCACTGTTCAGTTTTTTACGAAACATATGGCGACTTCTTTCATAACCGCTTGTGGCTGGGAGGCAAATTTATGCACAGTGAGAGTGTAATCTGTTATATAGTGTTTTGCAAGAGAAATCCCAACGAGTTAGGAAGGTTACGTGAGTTCAGATACAGTACTGTGCAAAGGTTTTAGGCAGGTGAGGAAAAAATGCTGTAAACAAAGAATGCTATTTATTTTCCACCAATCAACAAAATGTAGTGAATGAACAAAAAATACATCTAAATCAAGTCAATATTTGGTGTGACCACCCTTTACCTCAGAGCAGCATCCATTCTTCTAGGTACACTTGCACACAGATTTTGAAGGAATTTGGCTGGTAGGGTGCTCCAAACATCACAGATCTTCTGTGGATGTAGGCTTCCTCACATCCTTCTGTCTCTTCATGCAATACCAGACACACTCGATGATGTTGAGATCAGAGCTCTGTGGGAGCCATGCCGTCACTCCAGTACTTCTTGTTCTTCACGCTGAAAATAATTTTTAATGACTGGCTGTATGTTTGGGGTCATTGTCCTACTGCAGAAAACATGTGGGGCCAATAAACAATCATTTATATATCTGAAAGCATTCTTTGTTTACAGCATTTTTTCACACCTGCCTAAAACTTGCAAAGTTCAGATAGGTAAATATCTTCTGACAAAGACTGGATCACAGAAGAGTTACTTCTTTATTATTGCTGGAAATCTAAATTCAGGAGCTCGACACATCTCTCGCGAGCTTATTAAAATAATAGTAAATGTGTGACGACAAAATAACCCGATAAATTCATAAGAAAGAAAATTTCAAAGAGCAAAAGTTTCACGTTAGAGAATAAACGTGTTAGAAAAAACAGGCAAAAATTAAAATAAAATAAAGTTTTCTCCTAAACTTGTTCTCCCATTACTTTTCCTGTGATCCTTAAAGTTTTCATAGATGTCATAAATGGCCTGAAGATGGTGCCGATGTAAAGCCTGTGAACTGATAGTACTGCGCCAAAGCCAATATGCAGTATGTTGCAATCACTGTGTTAAAGCTACTAAATCTGTGTAGGTTTAGAAGAGAAATCTGTTATATAAAATATAATGTATGTGTTCTTTTTGGATATTTTAAATCAAATGGAGTTTTCAAGTTACACACGAACATGTTACATATCGTTAGCTTCATAGCATAAGTGCCTAAGTCATTTTTTGGTCAAATTGAGATTTTTGCCTAACTTTACTCCCCTACCACTGCTGCATCATCCTGTCCGTCTGCCTATGTCATCACAAAAAAATGACTTAGGCACTTATGCTATGAAGCTAACGATATGAAACATTATATACGTAAATATTTAAAAACCTCTTGCAATTAAGGATTTAAATAATTTATTATTTAATTCTGGTTTTATTTTTATTTTAGATGGCATGTTTAATTTTGTGGAAATAGTGTCATAGTACCTAAAATTTACTTTTAAAGCAGTACCTGAGTTTCTTTCTGTGCTATATCAAAGATGAATTTAATGAACTGCACCTCAGACATGGGAGGAAAAAAAACAACAAAAACAAACAAGCCTCGATATATTTAAGAAGTTTTATTTACAAACAGCAAAAGGTGATGAAGACAGGTATGATACTGTAAATCTGTGAGAACTCACTGTCACTGCTCAGCTCTACATACTCAAACATACATATGTAAACTCTTCACAGCTTCAAGATCAGTTTCAACAGACACGTAGAACAAGAACTGACTTAAAAACTGCAGGCTAGAGAAAAGTTTAAAAGACAAATAAAAGGTTGGTTTCAGCAGATTATAAAATACAACCCCATACTGTCGGATAGTTTTGGCTTTCCACGGGCAAAGTAAACACTTAAAAAAGCTTCATATGCTGGATTTTGGGGTTTGTTCCCCAAAATGTGTAAATGAAAAAGCGTTGAATGGTGTATATAAACAAGACCTTGAAGTAAACCTGATGCACCTTTAAATATTCATCATTAACCTTAATGACATCTGCTTTCAACAGCTGAAAACAAAAACGACACAGTGTTACACGTCGACGTCTGAGTCCATCGTGTGCATTTCCTTGTTTTCGGTTGCATGTTTAGGATGAAAAACGTTACAGTTTATTTATGCCAGCATGATCCACAGATCCACTTACTTCCAAATATATGTAATTATCATCTTTTTAAGATGAAGGTGAACCATTATAATACAAACTATAGTATATTACAGCTTTACAAAATCTGACCACTGCAGATTATCAGTTCTCTAACATCTCGTCATAAAACTAGCTGACGCTGCTGTCAGTGTTGTAAAAGATTACGGCAAGAAGGCCTCTTCACAGAAACTTGGTTTGACACATTGCACGTTACCCTGCAGTCAGTAAAAACATGTTCGATCCTGCACTCATGCTCTCAGTTCATACTGGGAGCAACTTGATGATTCAGCCACAGTAAGAAGCTCGTTGTTGAACACGTCGCACGTAATTGGGACAACGGCTTTGCAATAACTTGCATATTGTCTAAATTCACGCTTCAGTACACGTTCCCTGACTCTTCTGTGCATGATAAGCCTTGTTTTCCATACAACCCAGAAGAGAAATCCCATTTCCAACAAATATCTTTGCCAGCTTTTTATTTATTTAATTTCACTTCCTTCTACACATCCTGTATCCACCTTTTAATATCTCATCTTTCTTTGGATCCCATTTAAGTTGTCATCTGTGATAGTAGAGACAAAAAAAAATAGATTCACCACAAGGGCAATTAAATATATATTAATGCTTCTAATAGCAAACAATATTGGTAATACATTCATACCTCAAATCGACTGTAAACCTTCCTCTCCTTTCTCATATTCTGGATCCTCTCCAGCAGCTTTTCTCGCTCCTGAGGTGATTTTTGCTCTTTGTTTAGTTTATCAAGTCCTCGTTCTTTCTCCCTTTTAGCATTTTTGTCAGCTTTGTCTTCTTTCTCGTCATCGGTAACGGGAGACTCTTTGGTAGCCTCATTCCTGCTTTGGCTATTAGCGGAAATCTGCTCCAGGAGCAGCTTGGTATCGTCTCTGAGGTTGCTGCTCGAGAGCACGTTGGCTGTGGATGAGTGGTAGCGAGACTGGCTCGATTTGGGCTGCTTGGATGTGATCTCTGCTGATTCAGAAAAGTTACTTTGCTGTATTTGGTCATTTGTTTTCTCACTGCCGACAGACTCTTTGGCACTGCTTTCCTTTGTACCCTGGGTATGATCTGAGTTTCTCCCGCCTGTGTCCAGTTGCTCAGGCTTTGTTTTACTATTTTCAGCAGGCACAGGTGGCTCTGAGGTAGGCTCATTTGTGCTAGAGGGAGTTTTGGGGGCTTTATCCGATTCTGATGGAGTCTGGTTGGAAAGGGAATTTGTATCAGCGAGAGTGTGCAATGCAGACATGTTGGTTTCTGCTTTTTTAGCTTCAGGGGGCAAAACGAATTCAACTGACTCAGACAAAGGAGAGGAACGTGATCCTGTTTCAGCAGGGATTGGTGCCTCAGCTCCTGTAAAGTTGAGGTCAGAGGGAGGGGTTGCTTGTATCTGTGCGTCTTGAGGAGCTGCAGTTGTTTCTGACTGCGAAGCATTAAGAGTAGAGTCTGTAATGACAGTGGAGCTTGCTTCTGATGGCAAATGCTCGGCTGGAGTGTCCGTGGGTGTGGGTACAGTAATAGTGGGCTCTTTTAGCTCAGGTACACATGGCTCAGGTGGAGAAGGGCTACTAGGTATGATATCACCTTTGACATGTGAAGATTCAGAAACCACAGAATCCTCTGCAACAGCCTTTTGAACTGAGAAAATTTCTGATTCAGAAACTTCTTTTTCTGTCTCAGTAACACCTTCCTCTGATTCAGAAACAGTCTTTGCAGTCTCAGAAATACCCTTTTCTGATTCTGGTTTTCCAGAAATGGCCTTTTCTGTTTCAGATACACCTATCTCTGATTCAAAAACAGCTCCCTCTGACTTTTCTCGTTCAGAAACTATGTTTTCTACTTGAGAAAGGCTCTTTTCTGACTCAGTAACACCTTCCTCTGATTCAGAAACAGTCTTTTCAGATTCAGAAATATCCTTTTCCGATTCGGGTTTTTCAGAAATGGCCTTTTCTGTTTCAGATACACCTATCTCTGATTCAGAAACATCTCTCTCTGACTTGTCTGGTTCAGAAACAATGTTTTCTGACCCAGAAACACGTCTTTCTACTTGAGAAAGGCGTGTTTCTAGTTCACAAATATCGTTTTCTGATTTTGATGTTTCAGAAATGGATTTTTGTGATTCAGAAACACCTTTCTCTGATTCTAAAGTACCCCTTTCTGGGTCTGATGTCTCAGAAATGGCCTTTTCTGTTTCAAAAACAGCTGTCTCTGATTCAGACGTGCCTATTTCCGATTCAGAGATATGTTTTTCTGGTTCAGAAATGCTCTTTTCAGAGTCAAAAATATCTTTTACTGATTCTTGTTTTTCAGAAATGGCATTTTCTGTTTCAGATAGAGCTCCCTCAG